TTGGACCATCGAGTTTAATCACTGAGCCGGACATCGTGTTCGCAATCGAGCGTAAAGGATTCTATAAATTCACGCGATTATTTAAAGGATGAAGAGCGTGCGAAGTTAGCTTTCACGGTGCCGGTGCAACGGGAGCAGATCCGTAGCGGTCGCTTTGAAATAAAATAGAATACTCGCGAGTCTCTCGTGAATGATTTGCGATTACCGATCTCGCTATCTGATCTGCTCGTTGCATGAAGGTTATCGATAATTGGAAGACGCAACAAGACGCTCCCGTCTCGCTGCGTCCACGGAAAACTTTAATTCTTCAACCCGTTGATTATACCTCTGAGGGTTCCTCTTCGATGAAACTTATAACTTATTGTGATACGCGAGAGACCGTTTAAATGCCGTTTTGAAAACGAGTTCTGCCTTTAGGTAGACTCGACAGCTACCGGTCGAAGGGTTAAAGGCGTTCTCCACACGGAAAGAACGATTTTATTGGAGCGAATTTTTATTAAAAAATTTAGCATTCTATAGTAATCATTTTGATCATCCTACACAGAAAAAAATATTCCAAATTTTTACAAATCATTTGTTTGAATAGCACCAACAAAATATTTATTAAATATAAAGATATATTTATTTATGATACAAGAACCATTTGATTTGACTAAATAATCTTTTTTTATTGATTAAATGTTTATTTACCGTAAGTAAATGTTCAGTTGGCACTATTTAAATAAATATATATTAAAATTTATAGTACATTTTTCTCAGTATACATGATTAATTTAATAGTTCAACAAAATGATTTTCAGATCTATATTTAGCTAAACTTTTAGATCCTTCAGTGAAACTATTCTTTCTTGGGTTCCGAAGCAAAGTGGAGTTAGGAGTTAAGAGCCGATGCGATACCTTGTAGCGCTATAAGTTACATTATAAGACTCCCGTAGGTTAATCGTTCTTCTATTATTACCATTATCGTTAACTAGAGAGCTTTGCCGATTCGGGCAGACGTATCGCGACGAGTTGGGCCGAGCGTAATCGGCGCGATCAGATGAACGAAGGCACCGCGATCTGTATTAAACGGAGCGTTATTACACGCGAGTTTTCTCCCCCGATTGATGATTGGTCGCGCAACCGGCTATCTCACTACCATCGGATATTCATAATACGATTCCTTCTCGCATACGAAGCAGGGATTATTTCTTCCTTCTTCCTTTTATTTTCTCTTCGTCACCATCACCGTCATCTTTCTCCTTATTCGCCATCACGTTGGCGATCTCATGTGATGGAGCTTCGAGGCGTAGCTTTAATTTGCATCCTCATTTATTTATTCGCCAAAACTCGACCGAATCTTCGTTATTGATCTACACAGTTGTTTTTGAATATCAGGAACCTTCGGAAGCGACGTCTACCTTGCTCGAAACCTCAGAAATTCGGTTCACTAGTACGTTCATTCCGAATTCGCTTTTTTTTTTTATTTATTGCCTCTTCTGTCGCATTTCGAGAGCTGCGCCGAAAACCTGGATGAAGCTTCGCGAGTCCTTAGATTTCTTTCTTCTTTTATTCTTCTTCGTTTCCTCCAGCCAGATTCGAATCACATTGGTCAATCCGGACTTTATTTGATGGAGAGGCAACGTCTCTTCGATATTTCTCGATACCAGATTTTCACGCAATCTCTGCGCGACTATCCGTTATCTTCTTTCTTTTTTTATACTTTTGCTATCCAAACGCTACGGTCGGCGTAGTGGCGAGTGTCTGTATATATGTATATGTAAAGAAAACGAAAATGCATCTGTGTTACAAAACGCCGGACGAGAAACGCTAATTTGGATGTACATACAATCGCCGCGGAAAGTCCTCTCGGAAGGCGGAATTTAGCGCGTATTGAAGTATTAAGCGAGCCTATAGGTGTATGTAATATATATTTACATAGCATACTTACAAGAAATATATATATATATA